GGATGGGCTACCTAATGAGCTGTTACGTGAGTTTGCTCCCGACTGCGCTGAGCTTCTCTTTCCCATCCTCATGAAAATGATTTTCCGTGGACAGGAAGCCATGGGGATGAAGGGCGGTACGGCCATCTGGTTCCACAAAGGACGAGGCCCTAAGGACACTTGCGAATCCTACCGCCAGATCATCCTTCTGCCATGTATGGCCAAGATTCTGCATCAAGCCGTCCGGCCTGCCATCCGTGATCTGTATGTGCGAAAAACTCCTTCCCTCCAACTTGGAGGGAAGCCGGGACAATCGGTGTGTTTTCGGGCCCATCTGGTACGGGCTTTCCTCCGTGCCAACTACCAGCGCCGCCAGAATTGCTTTGTGCTGTTTTCCGATATAGCCTCAGCATTTTATGCGGTGGTGAGACAACTGGTTGCCGCCAGAACTGACTCCGACACTGGCGACTTTGTCCTCCCTGACGCTGTCTGCCAAGGTCTCGGCCTATCGGATGATGACATCGCCACTCTCAAAGCTCATGCTCAAGAGAGGACGGGCCTCAGCCAAGCAGGCGCCTCCTCTTGGCTTGAAGCCACTGCTCAGCAGCTGTCGAGCAACTCTTGGTTCATGCTTCGAGGCGACTCCTTAGCTGTCTTAACTGCTCGGGGCACTCGCCCAGGCTCGTCGTGGGCCGATGTGCTGTATGGGATGCTTATTGGACGCATCCTTGCTGAGCGAGATTCCACTGAAGGCCTTTGCGACACTTCCGCGGCTATGATTCCTTGTCTGCCTTGGGACGGCCAAAAGGTCCTCTTCGCTTGTCCGGACACTGCAGCTACCATTCCGATTGGAGATGTGGTCTGGGCAGATGACACAGCGACCATGAGGGTCGGCCGCTCTCCTGCACGCCTTGACTCGGCAATCGCGTCTTGTGTGGGCAGCCTGTGTGACGCATTTGCAGGTTTTGGGTTTAGAATGTCTTTCGGACCTAACAAAACAGCCGTTCTTGCGCAAGCGACCGGGCAGGGATCACGCAAGGCTAAACGTAGCCTTTTTGGACCCACAGGACACAATGGGTCTATCAAAGCTTTGCGTGAGTCTGCCGAGCCGGTCAGTGTTCCGCTTGTTGCGTCTTACCGCCATCTAGGCGTGTTTCAGGCCATACCGGGTGGGCCCCTGCTTGAGATTCGATACCGTTCTTCCCAGGCTTGGGCTTCCTTTTCCGAAGGCCGGCACAAAGTGTATAAGGCTAAAGGCGTACCCATTGCCCGGCGCGCCTTCATCCTTCGTGCGTCGGTCCTGCCGAAGCTCCTGTTTGGTAGTGGGCCTGGCCACCTCTGCAGCGACAGGAGATGCAGGCCTTTAGCGGAACACTCTGGGCCATGTACCGGGCGATATGTGGGATCCCAGCTTCTGGGGACCAACACTTCAATGCGTGCACAGTCCTTGCATTGACGGGACTCCCCGGTCCGCAAGAATGGCTGTGTGTGCAAAGGCTGCTATACCTGCGCCTGCTTCTGAAATCTGCCCCAGACGAGCTGTGGGCAGCGGTCAGGGCTGATGAAGCTTACCTTGCTGCCATGCGCGAGGCTCTCACTTGGCTCCATGCGTGGACACACCGCACATCCACTTTGCAAAATCCACTGACCTCGTGGGACGCCTGGTGTGACTTTATATGTGACCAGCCGGGTCAAGGGCTGGAAAGCTGGCTCTACAAAGCTTTGAAAGCTCTGGCTCCCGCCCCAGTGCAGCGGGACGCTCCGGCCTCTGCGTTTCCTGAAGCCTGCATTCCGTGCGGCAAGCTTTTTGGGTCCCGCGTGGCTTGGGCTGGCCACGCCGCCAGAGTCCATGGCTATCGCTCGAAAGCCTTTTTATTGGGGCGCTCGCCCTTGTGCTACGCCTGCGGGAAGACTTACGGCACAGTAGGGAGACTGCGCCGACACCTGCTTTCCAGTGGGAAGTGCATCGAGGGCTGGGGCAGCTTCACTCCTGCGGCTAACGAGCAGGGCCCGGCTTCAACTGCCCACCCGCTGCTCCCTCCCATGCCAGTGCCAGGATCTTTCAACCCCGCTGATGCTTGTGGGCCAGGTTCTGTCTGCTCAGACGCACTTCTCTCGGCCCTCCACTCGCTCCCCGAAGTGGATGAGTCGACTGTCTGGGAGACGGTTGCGGACTTCATAGAGCCTCTGCAAGTGCTCCGTGATACAGTGCGGCAATGGGCGGAGGACCTTCCCAACGAGGTATGGGTTCAACTCGCGGCAGAAAACGTGCTTCTTCTCCTGGATACTGATCTCCTTGGAGAACCAGAACCTACCACCCGCACCAAAGCAGCTAAGCATGCTTTTGCCCTTGGTGCTGGTCCTGACTGGGCTCCGCTACCAGTCTTCAGTGTTCCGGCCAGCACACCTGGTCCCTGCTTCGACCTGCAACCACCTCCGCCTGTTGTCATCTCGCCCTTCTCTCCCACCAGCACTAGCCTTCGACTTGGGCAGGCTTACAGCACCTGGCTCGAGCAAGCATGTACAGTCCTGGCCCAGGGCCTGGAGCTGGCAATAGAGAAAGGCTGTACCTTTCAGATCCGATGTGAGGGTCTTGACCGAGGTCTGGGGCCTGCCAAAGAATGGCTCGTGGCGGCTGGCTTTTCCTTCGGCCGGCTCGGACTAAGGTCTTCCAAAGTTGTTTCACCAGAATTTGTATGCTAGGCGAGCGTCGACAGCGACCCCACCGCAGTGAATGGAAATGGACTCGGCCTGAGCTCCATCTGTGCAAGGACAGCAGCAGCTCCGCAGTTCCGCGCACTGGTGTGTCCCCCACGTCTGCGTCTGGATTGTACCGACCTGGGGACGCAACCCTCCTGGCTAACCCATGCCTCACGGTGCTCGCCAGTGATGCAAGTCCAGATCACCCTTATGCACCCCATCCGTGTCAAAACGAAAGTCAGGCAAAAGTATGGCATCCCATCCATGTTTGTCAGCCAGTTAGAGGATGTAAACCGTCTTCGCCCATGGATCGTGCTGTACCCCTGTGCTGCCCCAACGACGAACGAACCGATTCGCCAACGAAAGATTTGTCTTCAATGTCGATTTATACGGATGTTCGAGGCTCAACTGCCAAAGCATTGCCACTGCTGTTCAAATTTTTTCGTCGAAGTACTCGACACATCCCTTCAGGACCTGTCGTCAAGCGAGTTTGAGTCAGACGCCTGCCATAAACACGCATGAGGAAGGAATCTGCGGGGTGTAATTCGTAACTATCCAATTTAAGGATGTTCATTCGACTGCTCACCCGAAAATTGTCCAACAGGATAGTCTCCGCGGCTTTGAGTGGAACCGTTCAGCTCGAGCATCAGGGCCCCAACACCCAAACCCGACGACCCAAGACCATGCACCGTCGACACCCGGTACGAACACTCGCTAGCGGAACCCTTTGCATCCATGTGGGAGCAACAGGGTTGCCACAAGTTTGTGCTCACCTCGGCCAACGGGCCCGCGCTGTAAGTGCGCATTCCGGGCAACAATCACACGGAGGGCTTGGCGTTAATTGCCGTGTACCCCATCTCCGGCGCTTGACAATGTGACCGACATGTTTTTTGGACCAAAGTTGCAAAGCTTAACGCGAAGTTGGGTCACGGGACATCCTGGTGATCGGGGATTTTAATGCTGACTTGGACACACAGAGGGAGACAGTCACCAGACCATGGGTAGAGGGGCGTTGGGGTGCGGAGCGCACCAACCGTAGTGGCTCGGATCTTCTCGATTTCTGTGATCAAGACACACATGGTCACATGGTAGCAAACAGGAATACGACGTGCCAGTCAGCCAGGCCCGGCCAGGCCGGGGGTGGCGCAGTTTCGTAAAGCAACCCGTCTTCGTTCGAGGTGGGAATGTTCGGATCCGGAATAAGGTTGTCGATGGTAGTATGTGTCAGATCTTCGCGTTAAACAAAGAACTTGGCATGAGGGATGAGCGACTCAAGCAAAGAGCGGTCTCAATCACTGGACCAGCGATGGACCTTGCAGTGGAAAGAGCACTTTCAGCAAATCCAGCAACATCGTGAGGTGGCCCAGATCAGGGCTTGGCACAACGCAGCATCAGATGCAGAGGTGGCGCTCTGGCTGGCTATCGTACCGACTGATGAGGAAATCGCGGACTGTGGTTGCAGTATGAAGACAAGTAAGGCAGCAGGCGTCGATGGCTTTTTGGCCAGGTTTTTCCACAACAGCGTAAGCTCTGCGGTCTTCAGCGGAAAGCAGGTTAGGGGCAGATTGGAAGTGCTCCGGCAGGTTCGGGGCGGTTCCGGTGTGGAAGGTTCCGGGGCGGTTCCGGCAAGATTGCGGGGCCTCTGGGATGTTTTTTAGATGTAGCTAGGAAACTGCCAAAGCTCATACCAATGGACACAATGGCCAGTGCCCGGTGCTCACAGCCGGGAATGAAGAGGTTGATGCTTTAGCCAAATACAACGGCCAAATTTTTATCCTCCAGAATCGTAGTCAGATTTCAGCCTTACCTCGAGAGGGCGTTTGACGTCCAGGCGCATCTTATTGCGACTATCGTCAGCCGTACCAAACCTTGCCAGCCTGTCCGTGCCTGTCCGTGCCTGTCTGTGTCTGTGTCTGTCGGTGTCTGTCCGTGTCTGACAGTGTCTGTCTGTGTCTGTGTCTGTCTGTCTCTCTGTCTGCGTCTCTGTCACTCTCTCTGTCTGTCTCTCTGTCTGTCTGCCTGTCTGCCTGGCTGGCTGGCTGTCTCCCTGTCTCTGTCTGTCCATCCCCGAAGACGAACTTTAGCTGAGACAGCGCAAAGGTACCTTGTCGGGTTCACAGACTGAAAACGAGTGACTTCAGCATTTGTTGCCGGTCCCATGGTTTGCTTTTCTACGACAGGTTCAGGATGTTCTGTAGTCGATTTGTTCCTTCACGGCAAACCTGTGGACCCCACTGGCGGGGATTAACAAGGTGTCACGAAGGCATCAGCACCAGTGCCCGTGTCTAGCAGCCTAGGCAGTGTGCGAGTCTGACCCACAGGTCCTTCCCCCCGACCTTTGCGACTTCCTCCGCTCTCTTGAAGTGCCGGAGCCGCTCTGCGCACAGGACGTGATCAGGGATGGTGTAAGAGAAGGGAGGGACCAGGGACATCCAGGGACCAAGGGACCATGACAATCAGGAGCTCCTCTCGGCCAGGGAGAGGGAAGAGCTGGAAGAGGACCGCAGCCGGGCAGAGTTTCGAAGGGGCTTCCGGTCATGGCAGGAGCAGAGGCAGGCTGAACTCGCCCCGCAGCTGCAGTCACCCCCAAAGCCCCAAGCATGCTTTGAACTCCTATTTACTTCAGGCTGGCATTCCCCTCATAAAGGCCGTGCAGCATGGGGACGTCGAGGCAAGGCGAGTCCGAAAGGTTCGTTTCGCCGCCTTTGATTGACCGAGGCAGTCCGCAGGCTCCTCGAATCGGGTGTGCCTTTGCAGCTGCAAAGAGCTTTGCTTGCTCTTCCGCACTTCTCAGATTCTGAGTCCTGTGAGGAGTGTGGATGCAAAGTTTCGGACCAAGCACCACGAAGTGCGGCTGGAGAGACTTGGCCTGTGCCCCGCACTGCGCGGCTCGGAGCCGGGAGCGTCAGGAGCACATCGCCTGCGCAGTGGGCGTGTCGCGTCCTGCATCTCGCCAACACGACGACGACCACCCTGCCAAACTCATAGTTTCGGGCTGAGACCGCCTGAAAGATTCCGGGGAGTCCGCTGAAGAGTTCCGAGTGTGCACACGAAGTCGGAGTCTGGTTGGAGGCTCGAGACCTGAACCTTCGACTCTTTCCGGATCGGGATCCCGCCGTGGAAGCAAAAGGCATCGAGATCCTGCGTGCCTTGACCTGCAGTTTGCAGCCCGTTTTGGCTTGATTCGAGTCTTTCGAGCCATTCTCAACCGGAGGATTACTCGTCGAGTACCGAGGATCGCTGGAGGCCTTGGATCATTGGTTTATGTCTTCGTGCAATGCTCGGCCACTTGTGGCTTGGATTTGTGGCTTTGCGAGGCCTTGGACTCTGACGGTGGAACGCCGGCGTTCTATGCGGCCATGGCAGGTGCCGTTAAGAAAACAGGGGGGAGAGAGAGCGAGAGAGAGAGAGAGAGAGCCCCTGTCTGTCACTCGGACCTCACGGGCGAGTGCTTGCTTGCAAATGCTTGTCCGTGCGAAGAAGAGAGAGAAGAGGGAGAAGGTGTCGTGGTGCTGGTGTCCTCTGAGGAAATGTACAGTGCTTCGAGTATATGCTGCAGGCCGGAGGTGAGAAGGTGTTTCACCACCAGGACTCCTTGTGCGGAGGTTTTGTGGCCCTATAGGCAATCGTTCGAGACTTTCTCATGCCGTTGTTCGGAGCGCGGGTCAGTGAGCAACACACTCTTGCACTTTGGATTCTCCGTCCCTTACGTTCCCAGCACCTGTACTCAGCACTCTCATTAGAGTCAGGAACTTTCGCCACTTGCAGTTTTCCTGCACGGCATTTGCAGACATGGAGCTGTAGAGGATTACTTGGACCGATACCCGCTCTACTGGGCAACATCAAACGACCAGCCGGCAGCGGTCCAGTGGTTGTTGCAGAACACTCGTTTGCCCGTGGTGCGAATCTCAGGCAGTTGTATGGCGTTTGTGGCAGCTCCATAGCTTTGCCAACTTTGGCTCTTTGCACTTGCACGTCGAGCTGTTATCACAGTGTGCTTGCATCATGTCGTGTGACATCATTCGCAATCTCAGCCTCCGTATCAGAACTCGTGCAGCAGCCAAGGATGCACGCAGCCGGCATGGGCGAACTGCACTGGCGAAGGCTTTCTCGTCGATGGCTCTCACGTTGCGGGACCTCAGGTCTGTGCCTGTTCAGGCTGCCTGGTCAGACTCGCCGGACATCGCCGTGCCGACGCTGCAAGTTGCATGTGATTCAAGTGATTGTGGGTTGCTGCGTGGCCCTTGCGGTCGATTTGATCCTTGGAACGCTCGGAGGCGATGCTCCTGGAGAAGCGTGCGGATCCACGAATCGTCGACGATCACGAACGCACAGCAACTCTCTGACTGACGTATGCCGTGTTGCAACAGTTGTGGCATTGCGGGATTGCGGGAGGGATGGGACGACAAGTTCCACTGCCGTGCATCTCATGGACTCTGACGCTTTCGGGGCTTGCCTGTATGAGGTTTTACACATGGCATCTTGGGGTGCTTGGGGTGGCCGGCGTGGTGGAAAATTTGTGAATGGCCCCTCGACTATTTAGGCTCTGAGGATTTGTCGGTCGCTGAGCTCGAGTTGCCTGGTCAGGCCGCGCTGCGGGGGCCAGTCCCAGATGCTTGCGGCTTATCCTGACCACGGAGGAGGTGGACGGACGGTCGTGGGCCCATGCGGGCATGATGAACTGGTCTTGCAGTTTGCCTTCGGCTCCTGCATACGATCTATAGTCGATGCGTCGCTTGACACATGGACGGGCCAAGCAAAACACGATTTGTCGAGTCTTCAGTGTTGATTCTGTCTCTCTCTCGCTAGTGGCAGGGGCGCCTTTGCATGCACTCTGCCGATCGTGATGGCGGGACGCCGATTGCGATCGCATCAGCAACGGGTGCATTGGATGCGCTCGAGGAGATCCAGGGCTGAGAGCACTAAGCACCACTCGCTACACTCGCCTGTGTCCAAAGCGTTGAGGAAGTGGCTCTGCATAGCATCTGCACTTCAGGAGCTGCTGCGTTGCCCTGAAGGACTCAGGTGGGGGAACTCGGGGAACTGCAGGACTGGTTTCTTCACGGCACAGAGACCTTCTTGCTTGCTGTTGTGTGTTGCCCAGAATTCTCCATTTTGGTTGGCTTGCAGGCAGGTCCGTGATCCTCCGCCCGAGCTGCAGGAGACCGGAGCCAGGGAGCAGGCTTGACAGGATTGAACTTGGCAGCTGCTTTAAGGGCGTTTGTGCGTTTGTAATGCGACAACCAGGAACTAGATCCAGCCGAAGCATTGAAAGTCCTTGCGCCACGAGTGTGACCCGTGCAGCACTGTTCTCGGTCTTTGTGGATGCTTCTGCATTGAGGATTTTCTGCCTCTTGCAGCGGCAGCTTTCCGCGGCCATGTCGACTGTGCCTTGTCGTTGAACGTAGCAGGATGCTGACAGGTGGACTTCGGCATTCGTCAAAACACGGCATTCAAACTGCATCCCAAGGCATGCAGATGCTGCTGAATGCTCGAGCGACGCCGGAGCTTCGCGCAAAGAGCACCGGCAGGCCCGTGGCAAGGAATCTCACAAACCGGAACTGCAAGAAGCCACCGGGCAACATCCCATTGCAGGACTTTGCTCACCAGTCTGTCAACTCTTGTATCAAGGATAGTGATAGAGGCCGCTGCTAGCGTGCGGTCCGTGTTTCGAGAGTTCTCGTATGCCGTGCTCCTTTAGCTTGGGTTTGGTGAGTTTGGTGTTGGGTGTTCTCTCGGTGCCCGCTTGTCTCAGCCTCTGGCGATCAGGTCTGCCATGGACTTCGCCGTGATCGGACAGGAGTCCTGAGTCCTGTGGATGTCACAGTTCGGCGGTGGTGGCGGGGTCAAAGTTTCCGTTGTGCGGGATCTTGACATTGGCTTCAAGTTTAGGGACCCAATTTTTTTGACCCTTTTATTTTTTATTTTTTTTTGGCCCTTCTGTGGGAAGCAAGGAAGGAAGGAAGGCCCGACTACTGCCGTCACTACTTGCTGGGGGTTTCGGGTTTAGGGGGGGAGTTGCCTACGTTGCCGGGTTTCGGGTTTAGGGGGGAGTTGCCTACGTTCCCATAGGTAAAACCAGTCTTTTATTTAGTTTTAAGGTGGAAAACCAGGGTGTTCTCGATATGTCCATATCTACATCCATAGACCCGTCTTTGTCTATGTTTACTTCTACGTTTACGCAGGAAAACAAACGAGTGAAGTTGTTTTGGGGGCATTTCTCTTTGTTTGGTGTTTATTAGAGCACCAAACAAAGAGAAATGCCCTCAAAACAACTTCACTCGTTTGTATTCCTGCGTAAGCGTAGAAGTAAACATAGACAAAGACGGGTCTATGGATGTAGATATGGACATATCGAGAAAATCTTGGTTTCCCACCTTAAAACTAGATAAAAGATTGGTTTTACCTATGGGAACGTAGGCAACTCTCCCCTAAACCCGAAACCCGCAAACGTAGGCAACTCCCCCCTAAACCCGAAACCCACCACCCCCCCCCCCCCCAAAAAAAAAAACAAAGAAAAAAAAAAGAGGGAACAAAAAGGGCCTAAAAATAATCTCCACCCTTCAAGTGTCCTTCACTGGAGCTCTTGCCAGCACTTCTGGGAATTTCGTGCAAAGGAGCTCCCCACTGCCGAGCTCTTGGTCACTTGCCGGCAACGTCTTATCTGAGCTTCGCAACGCTTTGGATTTAATGTCGCGCAACATCCCCTTCCCAGGCAAACCAGCTGCTGCCGGGTGCCAGCACAACTGCGATCTTTGCAACAGCTCTGACCTGGGCTGTGCACACTGGAGTGCCAGGTGGGGCCTGAATCTCTGCAGCCAGCAGCCACTCTCAATTCCGGAAAGTAGACCTACAACTACAACAGAGCAGTCCGCTGCGAGGCTCCAAAATCGCGAGAGAACATGGAGGGGTGTCTTTCATTCCGGCACTAAGTATGTTGGACAGACCGGCTTCGACATTTCTTTCCTTTGCGGCTCTTCTCTAACTTAAGTCTTGCAGGGCCAGTCGGCAGATTCGCGCTGCAGCGATAGACAGGAATTCTGAAGAGAGCGTGGTTGCGATGAGTTTTTCCTCCGTGATCGTGGGAGGCATGATTCGACTGCTTGCTCAGCGTTCTCCGGAGGCCTTGGAGAGTCAGGAGCCGCAGCGTCCAGTCTCGATGCGGTGTCCGCTGACTTTTGAAGGCTTCGTTTAAGGAGCGACTTTTTCTTAAGACACCAGCCTGGGCCTAGACTACCAACAAAGCGCATCTTGAGCATGGCTAGGGCGGCTAGGGGCATGGGCCGCAGGTCAGGCTTCGATTTACCAAATCGCTTAGCAGTTTGGATGTTTGTATCGAGCTCAGATGTTAAGATGTGCGCTGTCCTGATTCTGTCTTTAAGATTTTCGATCCTTGAACTTTGTGAATGCAGATTTCGTGCGCAGGACTTCGTCCACCTGGTCTTGATGCACGGGCCAAGCAGCCGTGCCGAGGCCGTGTCTTGGGTGTCGCTGCGGTTTACTTTCCGACGTCACACTGCCCGAAGCCGTCCTCGAAATCTCACAGTGGCCACAAGCATCTGGTGACAGCTGCACTGGTTTCTGATTGAAGTGGTGCTCTTTGTGAGCCTGGAACCTTTCAAATGTTATGGCATGATGCCACTTTGTTTTGTGGTTTAGGTCGTCTTGCGGCACGATTGCACTGTAAAGGTCACGTGGCCGCCCTTCCCCGCCAATGCCGAGCAGCAGCCGGCACCACCTCCGCCTCCCAGGAGACGACGAAAAGTTGAGCTCAAAAAGCTGTGGCGAGTAGTCCGACGCAGCCCGTCGCGAGGCAGTCGGCGCTGCGTCGAGGAGCGGAGATTCTGGTAGTTTCACCCTCTTTTGCACTTGAATTCCATGACACAGGCTCTTCGCAGTCATAAACGAAGCTAAAGCTATCAATGGAAGGAAGGTTAAAGCTGTCAATGGAAGGAAGGTTTGAGTCTGAAGCTCGAGGCCGCGCATCTTGTGGCAAGCTTCTGACAAGAAGACAAAGTGTGTCTTCTGCAGGACATCTCAAGCCGTTCAGCTCGGTTTCCATCACATGCTGTGCCTCGGTGTACAACACGGCAAACCTAATCTTTCCTACTCTTGCTGGCTTTCTGCTTGAAGAGCGTGGCCCAAGGCCAAGCCCTTCTGGAGGCAAGGGCTGAGGTGACCGAGTCAACGCTGACCAGTGTGCTGAGGACCGGCGGCGTGGTTTTAAACAAGGTGCCCCATCAGCTCGGGGCTTCGGTTCGCGTGCTGAGGCGTGGACTCGGCCGCGGCCCAGAGTCGGAGGCTGTGCTTCTCGACGCGCTGCTGCGACAATACACGAGGCCGCTGTCCGCGCCGGCTGCTCGCGGCTGAGAGCGTGTCCTGGCAGGCTTCGGCCTCAACCGAGCAAGCTGGCCTGGCCGCTGGTTGCAGCGGCAGCGGCCGACAGTCCGGCTGCCGTCACCCAGTTGAGATCTTGTGTGCTGCTTTGGCAGCTGCTTTCGTTTTGCAGGCATGTTGGTGATCGTTGGTGTGTTTCTCTCTCTGTCTCTGTGTATGTGTCTCAGTATTAGCATCAGCATGATATTTCTTTTTCCCCCTGGCTTCGCGATGTGCGAGACGAGGTAAGACAACCCAATCTACTTGCTCACGGAGCCTGTGTTACCTTCTATTCCAGTCTGCTGTCAAGAACTTCAGGTGTCACTCCTACTTGCATCGAAAGCAGATCCTGCTGGTGCAGGCTTCGGAGCCACGAGAGCGTATTGTCGTAGGTCGCCGTGCAGTGAGTGCTTTTGGTATCTTTGTACCTCGCGCAGATGGATTTGCTTTCACCGCAGCTGCCGACTCTGAAGAGTGCCTCGCCCTGCTGCTCAAGGCCGGAGTCATCGAATGCTTTGTCCACGGATCCCTGCTGATTCAAACCTGGCAGGCCTGTGAGGGAGTGCCACGCTGTCCGAGGACGCTGGACCCCCGACGAAATTGCGAGCATCAAGCCTTTGGCTGTTGGGGTTGGGCGTCTGCTTGACGCCCAGCACATAACATAAGTCATGAACATAAAGGCGCACTGTGCTGCAGCACCCAAGGATGTGACAGAAGACGACAAAGTCAGCCTTCTGGAGGCAGCAAGTTGGGTATGAACGCTCCTGTGGATCTTGTGGCATCTGCAGGTTGCTGCGGCCACAGGAAACGCACAGTGGCGCCCCTGGAACTCGAGGGGAGGCAGAGGTCAGAGGTCTTACAGAGCTCGAGGTGCGTGGCCCTGCTGCTGCGTGGTGATAACCTGGCGGCATCGGCAGCAGCTGCAGCGGCTCAGCGCGCTGAGCACTTCGATGCTGGCCGCAGACAGCGAGAGTTGAGAGATGCCAGGTGCATCCAGAAGGGATGGGCAACACAAGTGGACAATCCGCTTTGCAACAAGGGGTCTTGGGTCAGCTGCCGCCACACAAAATGTAAAACTCGGCCTCATTTGCATATGGAATGCATCAGAAAGAAAGCATGCAGCACAACCAACCCTTGCTCCTGCTGATGTCATGTGTCCATGCCTTCATAGACGTTATACCGGGACCGCTCCTGCACCTGCACTGCCTAGGCCCTAAGCCACGTACTTGTACATCAAATGCATCACATGAGCTGTTGCCACTGGCCCGCCCAAAGCCGACAGACTCACCAACTGGGTGTGGTGCAGAGCAGTGTAGAATCCAGGAAACCTCACACCAAAACAATCAGGTCAGTGTTGATGGAGCATGCAAAGGCTAGTGCGCGCACGTTTTTTTCGAATGTCCGTGGTGCCTCCCAACACTGCAGATGTGTTCATCGTACATTCGTGTGCCCAGCACAAAAGATGCCAAAAGGTAGAGGTATGCAGCAGCACTTGCAGAGTCTTCATTGATGTTGCGCAGCTGTCTCAGGACATCTCTCGTTGGCTTCAATCTGCAGAGGGTGTAAACAGTGTGGCGCCTTGGTGAAAGAATGTCAGGAGCAACTTGCAGAGTTGCCTGCAGTCAGAGTCTGTTTTAAGTTGTCGCTAAACCTGCTCACGGGCCGTATCGTGGGTGCATGTCAACAGCAAAGCCACGCTCATGCATGGTTGGATAATGTTCTCGTGGCTTACGTAATCGCGTGTGACATGTTTTCGAGGTCCTGGGCTTTAGCACCTCACCGTGTGACAGATCTGCGAGGACGGCAAGGACCAGCGACGATCTTTCCGAAGGCCAGCCGTAGTTCCGTGAGGTATGCCTCATTCAACCATATTCGAGTGAGTGCTTGTCCATGGTTTGAGGAAGTGCGAATGGTTGCAGTTGTGAAATGTCTAATAGCTGGGACCTCGAAGTAAGCATTGAGTTCATTCACACGCGCCAAAGAATTTAGATGTGAGCGCTTCCTCCGGCTGTAGTTGAAGCAGGTGCCAAAGGGAAGCGGGGGAAGGGGGGAGACGGCGGGGAGGCCGTGGCGGCAAAAAAAAACCAAAATCGGGTGCCCGCGCCAAGCCCACTCTCCGCCCTCCGAATCTCTGGACGTTGGGGTTGCGAGCGGGGGGAGAGGGGATTATGAGGTGGGGAAACAGGATTTCTTGTGGGAAACTCCGACCGCTTCGGCCAGGGCCGAGGCGAATTAGAATCGCAGCAGTTATAGATTGATCTCTGTTCTGGCTGTATTGAGGTGGTGATGATGACGGCGATGGTCATGAGAAAGACGGCAGCACAGTTCGACGACGGTAGCGGCGCGGCGGCGACGACAGTGACGACGACCGTGACGTCGGTGACCATGAGGATGACGATGGTCATGGTGATTGCGATGATTCTGGAACATCTCTTCTGTTTCTGCTGATGTTCATGTTGACGATGACGACGGCGATGAGGATTGCAAGTTCAATGCGAACCCAGTCTAACCCGTCCACAGAAGTCGGCAACATGCTGGTCTCCCAACATCATGTCCGGGCCAGCTTTGAGCATCCAGCACTTCCCAGACCCATAAGACATATTGATGGACCGTGGCTTCACAAATCGCAACATGCAGAAGCCCCCCACACCTTCCCAGCTTGAATCCGTTGGAGAAGCAGCACTGCCACAAGAAAGGAGCGCAGCTGCTGTCCTGGCAATCCCTGCTGAAACCTGCAGATGCCGTGATTCGCTCCTGTTCCTGGATAGAGCGGCTCGACTGCACTGCGATGGTGGTGAAACAGTGTGGAAATCGTGTTGCGTGACACATTCACAATGGCTTGCTCGTGCTGTGGTCCTTATTGGTGCTACGGCACCGCTTCTCTTGTTGCTGGGTCCCGATCCAGCCTTTTAGCTGCTTTGCATTCGAAGATTGGATGCCAACCGCTCAGCGTTTGATGGAGTTCAATGGCAATTTCCCTGTGCCACGAGCTTTCGGCGGTGCCGTACCCGGTTCAAACTTTAATGGCTCACGGTGGGTTTAATGTCTGTCAGGCCGGATCCCTCAAGTCGACCGTACTCGCAGTCGTAGTTTCGCAGTTGCAAGTGCTGTAGTTGTTGCAAGTGGCCTATTTGACTTCCCTTGAATTCAAGACAGGAGCTTGGCTGATGCAAGACAAGCTTTGCGCTCGCTGAAGGTGCCTTGCATCCGGATTCCTAGGGAGTTAAGCGCATTCGCCAAGAGTCGGCCCGAGATCCGAAACGTGTGCCGCTTGTCTTCTGAGGAGGACCTGGACAAGTCGGCCATCCTCGGAGTCGACCTGGAGTGTGGCATGCCCCACAGACATTTCATCTCCTCCCAACATGCAAGACTTCTCCACATGCTCACCAATTTCATTCTATGTCATGGTTCTCACAGCATGGTGGATGGAGATGACATAGGACCGCCCAAACTCCTGTCGTTTCCTTGTGTCCTCGTGTTCGTTAACCTTCTTTGACATTCCTGTCTGAGGCTATGGTGACGTGGTTTGTACCTTGCAGATGGCGACAGTCAAACGGACGGTCGTCCTGGACGCGTTGAAACTACATGGCGACGTTGCCGAGCTTGTGAGCAGTATTTTTTCGGACGGATCCGTCATCAAGCTCTTCCATGCACCCAGAAACGATATGCGGTGGCTTTGGAGCAATTTCGGCATCCAAGTAGTGTCTCGGCGAGAGAATGCAACCAACCTTACCCTGGTGCCTTGGTTTCGCTCTGCCTTGAAGAGGTGAACATGTTTGACACAGACACTGTGGCCATGCTGGTGTACGAGCGAAAGCTTGGGGTTGGACGCCACCGCAGCCTGAAAGAACTTTGCAAGCGCTTCCTCCAGATGGATCTAGTGACTTTGCTTGGCTAGAGAAGGGAGAGCGATTGGATTTGATGTCTCTTGTTAGGCGTGAGGAAGTTGAGCCTAGGATAAGATAAGACTCACCAGCGTTCCGACTGGCGGTTGAGGCCCCTTCCCGAGGAGATGTGTGCCTTGAAATTAGCCAGATCTAGCCATCGAAGCTTCATGTTACCGTGCTTCACCAGGAGATGCTTGCCTATGCCGCACGCGACGCAGAAGTCTGCGGCTTACTGCTTGCTCATCAAAGCCGGAGGCATCTACGGAAGCAGTTGCAGCCGGGGCTTGAAAGCAGGTGCTGCTGCCCTTGGCCAAGCACCTGGCCAGCATGGCAAACGACCAAAGGCTATTGAAGGTAGGGCCGGCAGCACGCGCAGTTCCAGCAGCATCTTATCAAGGTTATCTTGCGAACGGAGTCTGCTGGTAGCCTCTTTGCTTGGGAGGAGTCTTTGCAGTCGTGCCGCCGGCAGCAGGCCTGGCGGCCTGGCCGGCCTGGCCGGCCTGGCCTCGGCGTGAGGGCGTGTCACCCTGTTTCTCTGTGTGAGGACATCTCTGGCAAAGAAGGGATACGAGTCGAACTCCTCGGAACAGAGCGCCTCCTCTGCAGTCTCAGATGATCTTACGTTGGAGATCTCGCGATTTCCAAGGAAAGAAGAGTCATCCACTACGTGAGGCAGACCACAAGATGAACAGTAGGACCTGGAAAGCGCAGATTTATGCGAGACGGCTGACATGCCAAAGCTGGACTGCAAGTCGCTCTCCGAATCTGCACGGACTGCGTGAATCGTGTTCATGGCCACCCAGATCGCATGTTGTGGGATTGGCAATGTGTGGCTTGCCTCAAAGCACCGGGCTGGCTGGATGTCATCAGCGCCAGCCGTGGGCATAACGATGAGTTTTTTCTGGAATTGCAGTCGACGGCTGCTGGGAGCATCCCTCTCGACGTGCGGGTCATGACGGCCACGGCTAGAAGCCTTCTCCACAAGAAAGCGTGGGGCAGCCGAGCAGAAGGAATCTACGAAAGTCACGCGAAGCGCCGGAGTGGCCAAGTGCGCAAAGGCAAAACAATTCGGCTGATCGCATGTACTTCGCTTGCCGCTGGGTGCCTCTTCATTCCGTGGATTGTTTTTTTTCTAGGCCCGAGCAGCACGACTAAACTGTGCAACATCAGTGAGACTAAAGTAGCTGTGCTGTTTTCAGCTTCAGTCCGGACTAGCAGCCAGAGTTGACAATTACGCTACGTGACCATGCCAGCCGCTGTCGGTGACAGAGTTCGCTTGCGAAACTACCGCTACAAGGTTGGACCCCATGGCAGCCCGTGCTCTGCACATTGCGTGATGGCACATTTTTAAGGCGGAAGGGACCGTCCGTTTCCTGGGCGACCTTCCCGGAGAAGGCTGGTGTGTTGTCCCAGAGAAGTGGGAGTTTGCGCTGACTTTTGTCATGTACTGGTACCAGGGAGCTTAGCCGGCGTTGAGCTTGACTTACCTATCGGGAAGAACGATGGCGATGCTTGGACGGCAGAGACTTGAGCACTTGATCAATATGCCGATGCCCATTCACGCATTCAGCGGTTCAGGAACGTGATGGAGTGAGATACTTTTCATGCCAGCCAGGCAGGACCAAGAAGACTGAAAAATGGTGAATGCTCAGGGCCGAGCAACTCGCAGCTCTCTGCAGGTCATGGAATTTTCATTCGGCAGGACTGGCTGATCAAGCTGGGTGAGGAGGCCTTCGCGCGGCGTCCTTTGTGGCAGAAATGCCTAGAAACGCGAGACTCCAGAGTAAGACTCGCAAGGGGTCTCGGTCTCTGCGGTTTCCTGCTGCCCGGAGGAAAGCCAAGGCCCTTCTCGGCTCCAGCGGAGCAAGGCCGGGAGCAGCAGGGTCGTGTTGTCATGTGTCTCTTCTCGCCGCCAGACCGATGGCTTCATGGAGTGCCTCGGATGATTTCAAGCGAATCTTGGCTAAGTTGCAGCTCGTGAGATGCGCATTCAGGACTGATGCAGCCATCGCAGAGCTGCAGAGGGCGCTGAGTGAGGTGCAAGGGAGGGTGTCTGAGTCTGTCAGAAGCCAGCTCTCACCGTTTTCTTTTCAGACAGGTGAACGCACGCATCGGGGTTGTCGAGTCCGACCAGAACAAGCAAAAGATTCACGAGCTGGAGATGCGTGTTGCAAGTCTTGAGGCAAAGAGGTTGGGCCAGAGCCAGGACACAGTTTTCAAAGATGCGTTATCGCAGAATCACGAGATGAAAGCTTCGGCAACGGGCGCTGCTCCTGTGCTGACAAAATGCACGGACAGTGAGGCTCGCATCAACCAGCCTGGAGGACACGTGCAACTGCTGCAGGATCCTTCTGCTCGAAATGTGGAACATGTGGATAAGGGGGGGGTTCCCACTGGCTGTGACGGCACGCATCAGCAGCCTGCAGAGCCAGGTGCGTGCGGAGCATACGAGGATGCGGATAGGAAAAAGACCCCTCCTCTCGTGTGTGACGACGTGCAAACTTCGCAGCAAAGGCTGCAAGTTTCCAACCATATTGGAGATAGCCTGAAGTTCATTGGCAGATTGGAGAAAAGCATTTCGAGCTTGAACAGGCAACATACCGGACTAAGTGGAGAGACATGGTCCTTGAAGGAGACTGTACAGAAGCTGCAGGCCCACGTGCAAGATCTATCCGACAAGTACGATGCTACACAGCAAAGCCTGTCGAAGCTCCAGCGACAGATCAATGACAGCTTGGCCACTTCCCTCCAAAGGGAGAATGCAACCCAAGAGCGTCTGCTAGAAGCTGAGGCGTCGCAGAAGCAGGTTCTTGAGGCTGCCACAGAGTCGCAGAAAAGTGTACTTTCATTGACTCGTCGGGTTGGAGCAGTGGAGGTGACTCACATGAATGCTGAACGTGCTGCAGTAGTAGCAGCAGCTGAAACACGACAACTGCGGGAGCAGATGATGATGCTGGGAGACACGTTGGGCTCGTCGGGCTTCGGCTCGAAAGAGAATCTTTCGGAGCATCAGGAGCGACCTGGCCTTGGCAGTCAAGTGAGGAGCAAATCCATTGACTCTGCTCTGAGCCACCATGGCACTGCATGCACAGCACAGGATTCGTGCTTCTCGAGGTCGGAAGTTCGCTCCAGGCCCGGAGTTGGGCGTTCCTTCTTGAACTGGCCATGGAAGCCCTAAGACGTCGCCGAGGCGATCTCAGAGTGCAAAGGGCCGCCGGCTTGGTCGTGGCGTCAGCCGCGAGCTGCCCATGCCGAAGCTGTTGCGCCACCACCTCAAGTCCCGGCTAGAGCGAACTGGGTCAGAGCACTCATCAGAGCACTTCTTGTCGTTAGTCGTTCTTCTGCGACACGCCCCAGTGACTCGCTCATTCTCGGTCCTTTCCATCTACCTGGCTGAGCACGCGGTGATTTCCTGCGCATTGCTTTGGAACTTCATGCGTTCCTGACAGACCGAGCACGGACAGGCATACCAGCCGGTAGCCCCGAATAGATGGTGTTCCAGGGTTTGAAATGTCTTGTACCGCACGTACAGGGTTTCAGATTGGCAGGTGTTTGAAGCCTAGCTTTGTTTGGTGACTATGCCGGGTTTCCCGGCCAGAACAGCATGACAACTTGCAAGATGCAATAGCAACTGATTATTTCATTTATCCTGGCAACAGCGCAGCAGTTCTAGGTTCCTGTCCCGGATGCAAAGCAACTCTTAAAGAGGCCACAGAGAATACAGCACCGGCTTGTCCTGGTATGCGGCTGATGTGGACACACTTTGAAAGCCACCATGTGCTACACGTGTCAGCACAACTACACCATGTCAGTTCGTATGACGCTGACCGCAAGAGTAACAACTGTGCCGCAGTGGCCCCAGAGAGCTTGCCCCAAAAGATTTTCCTAATTCTAACCTTAGTTTCGATAGATTCGAAAATCGATTTCGGATATAAATAATCCTCCCACTGCTACTCTTCTACAGACTCCAGAAATAACCCCGTCCCCTTTACCATAGACCCCAATGCATAGACACAGACCCTATCCCTAGCTACATCATCCCCGTATGCAGCAGAGACCCCTATCAGCTTTCTATAGATACGTACCCTCCTCGCGATAGCCTACCTGTGTGTAGCAAGGCCCAAAGCAAAGACGGCACTGTCTTTGCGAGGTAGTCTGTAGCCGCCAGATCCGGACTCGCAGGGGTGTGTGGCCACCAGATCTACTCGCCCACAGTCGTTCTGCACGCCATAGGCGCCAGAGGTCATGGAGGTAGTGTCGGTTCAATCGACCGGCATGCTGCCCTATCAGACACCGACCGCAGAGGCAATATCCCCTACGACTGTCGTGCCCCAGCGTGCCTCAGCCGGCATTTCGGGTGCAGGGGGCCACAGCACGAGCAGAGCAGGCCGAGTGGTGGGCGTTGCGGCTCTGATGGCTTCCTGGCGCATAGCATCTCGCAGGGGCAAAGTCGCTCGAAAGGCTGACGAGCAGCCCTCTTACCATGACAATCGGTGCCTGCCCGACGGCACTCCGCTCGAGTCTGCTGGCAACATGTCCATTCGGCCCGAGCGACCACCGAAAGAACCTTTCGTCGCTCAGCCACAGTCCTACGAGCACGTCCTGGACGGATGCCTACCAGACGGCACGCCTATCTCCAAGTCCCGTTCCTACAGCGCTCATAGTCAAGCTCTGGCGGAAGCAGTTCAAGATTGCCTACCAGATGGCACGCCGTTGGGGCAGGTCGGCAACCGATTCATCAAACCCCAGGCACCGCCCCCAACAACTCTGCCACGAGCCAGCCGATTCATCAAGCCCGAGCAGGCGCCAGGCAACCAATCTATCAAGCCGCAGATGCAACCAACAGCACCGCCTCGAGTCAGCCGATTCATCAAGTCCGAGGATCTTCCAAAACCTACGCCGTCACGTGCCGCTGTGCTCAAAATTAAGCTGGCCATGGGTAAGGCTGCAATTTTCTGATTTCTGGTTTCTGGGAAAGCACCGGTTTCTTCGAAAGGGACAAGGGAAGGATCGTTGTTCTTTGTTCTTTTGCTCGCTGTCCATTGGCTAAGTTCAGGCATCGACTGGCCCAAGATTGCCGGCTCCGATGGATCCGCTACAGGCTGCTCGTGAAGGGCCGGCCGTTCCGGATATTCAAAGTGCCATGTCTTACCGCAACTTCGTCAGGGTGTCTCTGGATGGTGCCCCATCTGAAGTCGAAGCTGCACTGCTTTCCGTGGCTGTAAGCTTGGAAAGAGCAGCGCAGTAGGTACGAAGCCTCCACCTACATAAGATTTGGCCACTGATGTCCAGAGAAGTAGGCTTTCATTGCTTTTGGGTCATGTTCTTGTCAGCTGTCACTCGAAACTGCGAATCCAGACCGCCCAGGCACACCTGGTGACACTCCACGCAAGGATGCGGACCAAAAGAAGAACAGGACAGCAGAGAAGAACGCAGATGCTGCTGCTGTTCCTGCTCTGTCGGACGACCCAACAAAGAAGGAGATGGAAGCTGCGATTGCAGCTCTGAACGCAATGATGGAGCTCCCCAGTGCGACGCCAGCGGCGCCGGAGCACAACCCTCCTCTCGTCGCAGCAGCCTTGGTGTCTGAGTTTGAGGACACCTCCGTTGCTGTTGCCGAAGCCGTCGTCGAGTCTGAGGACACCTCTCTTCTAGATGAAGAAGTCGTGGTCTCCGAGTTTGATGACGCCTCCCTACCATGTGCGGTTGAACCCGTTGTTTCCGAGTCTCAGCACGCAGCGCTGGCGCCTCCCAGCACCAAGAGTGCCGTTGTTGACGAGGTTGTCACTGCCATGAGGGAAATGCGCGAGGAAGGTGACGCCAAGGTCGAGAAAGAGAACGATGTCCCCAGTGAGCCGGCATGGGAGGTTCCTGAAAGATTGGCAGCCGCCGCGACCTTTGCTGCCTCCCTCGTTTTCGTGAACGCCGCTTTCTTCTCCGATGTAGGGACCCAGATCAGATCGAGCCCAACCCCTGTGGCAGCCGTCCGACCATCAGCGACGCTTCCATCAAACCAGGGGCTAACAGGGGCGACTCTCCCTTCCGCACAGTTAGAAGGGAGTTTGAGCTGAGGAAGACGGTGCAAGGAAGATCCTGCAGCACCCTTGAGAAGTACCGGGAACCCCGTCATTCCAAGGGCTTTGGAGCTTTGGCCACCCAGAGCTGTATGAGCCCTAGAAGCCCCAAGTCGCAAACATCCGAAGCCCGAATTCATAACCCTTCATGCACTTCAGCTTTCGGTCGTACAAGAGTGCAGAATCTCCCCCCGTTAATCCGCTTTTAAGTGGCTACAGGGCGGCCAGCAAAAGCTGGCGGCGGCCGAAGTTAGCCTGGGCTTGCGGCCCAAACCCTGCAGTTCTCTACTTTACGATTTCCTCTTAAGTCCCTTCTTTTTGGGCAGAAGACCCGACGAAAGAAGACTGTAGGTGGTTGGTGCCGCAAGTACACAGTTCTACCGCATCGGTTAAGCAACCCATGCCTACGTCCAACTCATTTAATTCAAGTTGTAGTTGAGCGAAGATGGAGCTGAGCACATCGCTGCCAGGAAACAAGCCACCTGAGACTTGCAGAAAGGCTCATGTTGACGTTCGCCTACCATGCAGTCGGTTTGTCAGGCGCTTTTGCATCGCAACTTGAATATGTTGGTCCCGGGCCTGGGGTTTGGAGGTCATCGTGGTCTGCGTACAGCTGTGGGCAAACAGACTGTCGTGTCTCCCCGCACTGTCTGAATGGTGAGTGATGGGATGTTTGGGGTGTGCTTCCGTCTGTGACAATGCTGAACAGGCCACGACAACTGCTGCTGCATTGGAAATCGAACAATAACTCTTATGAATGTTGGCCTGGTTTTGGTTGAGACCCACCCGTCTTCGCAGAGCGTGTCATCCTTGCACAAGGGCTGACACCTCATGTCCCAGTGGACAAGAATGACAAGAAGGCTTCAAACACGTGGTTCGTGCCATGGCGCTCCAACACAAAGCTTTTAGCCGTAGTCAGTGCACCTGTGAGCGATCCGGGAATGTCGCAGTTAGAATCTGCCGAGGAAGGCCAGGGACGGAAAGCTCGATTTGCGTGGTTTTGATTGTGTCTGGTTTCTTGTGGTGTGGGGAAGAGATGGCAGTGTCGCTGTGGGCTGAAGCTCAAAATGCATGCGAGGGAGGCGAGCTGGGTTCGGTGCGTCACCGCCCCAATACGGCCTTGTTTAGCTTTCTCTCTGACGATGCAGACTCTTCGACTTGCCACCTTCCTTTGCAGCGATAAGTACAGACAGAAAAGCCGTGATCGAAATCCTTTATATCAAGAAGCTCCCACAGCTTGAATGCCACGAGCACCAACACTCAACACTGCGAACCACCGCTCCACAAGCTGTTTTTGATGACACCAGCATATGGATCCGGGAGTCTCCAAATTCTCAGCAGTGGGTCGTGTGTTTCGGGAGGAAGATCTTCCCGGGTTTAAGTTGATCTTTGCCTGTTCCTGCCGAGCTTTGCTTCCGGTTCAAGAGCAGGGCCGGCACGTTCACCAAATCTCGATTTGCCCCGAAGTTCGTAGATTGATTGACTTGTACCGTTGTTTCTGAGTTAGGGCGTGCGGACTGCAGGTAGATGTACACAACGCAGACCGTACGATTACAAACCCCGATGCAATCAACGTCACGACTTAGCACAGCTGCGACCTTCGCGGTGATGGAAGCTTCGACGTTGCAGGCCCAATGTGTCTTCAACATTCACAAGTTATTAGATGCTTTGTGCGGGAAGTCTACATGCAAAGCGATTGAAACTTGCGGTTGGAAGCGCCCCCTGCCAGCCCGTCTGCTCCACTCACATTGACCGGCACATCACGTCAGCACTATCAAGAGCACTTAGCACACATTCAATCAGGCGCGGGTACTCGAGAAACTCCAGGCCGCAGGACAACCAAGCGCGAGAGGCCTCAGCGTGCATTCGTTCAAGTCTTCCGACACCACAGGGCACAGAGGATCATCCTTGAACAGTCGTTTTCTGTTGTACGGCTTGCCACACTCAAGCTACTCACAATGTTCCGTATTTTTAGTCGGGTGATGAGGAATGACAGGAGTTCCTGTAGCTACTTTTTCCACCGATGTCGCTGCACAAGTAGATGAGTGAGATTCCAGTCTGCATAGATCTTTTCGAAGTGCTGCACTGGTTTGGAGGGTCCGCTTCCAGCCGGTTGCCCGCACCGCCGGTTTCAAACCGGAGGAGACAGGCCACGCTGTCATGTGCTTCGGGAGGACTCCAGGTTTGCGCTTTCGATTGCTTTGCATTGGTGGTGTGGTTTCGCGTGCTTTCGGCATGGTCACATGTCCTGGGAGCAAGATGGAGCCGTAGTCTGCAAGACTGTTGCAAAGTGCTAGCCAGATCCCGACTGATTTCATGGCCACTCGAGTTTGGAAGCAGGTCAGCGATTCTTTATCCAGCGAGGCCTTCTTGAGCTGCTCGGGCCAGGGCCTGTCAGCCGGATACGTTGACTCCGATTTGTTGAGCAGCCTTGCTTCCGACGATCACAACAACGAGACAGGGTAACTTCATTCGACGCTTGAATCTTAGAATTCGCTTTCTCGCGAAACCCAGCACAAAAAAAGCCTGCCACAGGATGACTTTGGCTACAGCAGCAGTGACAGCGAGAGTGACAAGGCAGGGACAGACACAGCAAGGGCCCTGTGATTTGACACTGGTAGCAGGCTTCGAGTATTCAGAACCCGCATGTTCTATGCTGGCACTGATACAGGCCTCTGATTTACTGTACATCGAACTCTGAACAGCGATTGAAGGATTTGCGCCTCGATGTACGTTCTATGCAGGCGCGGTGCAGGGTTTGCAGCAGTGGAGAAGGGGAGGTCTGTGTGGCAACCTCCAGGTAGACCTCCTGAAGGCAAGCCGCGGCCTTAGGAAAAAATTTGGGGTTTTCGCGGCTGAGCCGAAGCCTTTCCACCTTTGCATAGAGTCTTCAAGGTCGAATCTGCAGTCGCAGGGACTTGACCAACTGCCTCCGCAAAAGGCGTCGGCTGCTGCAGAGCCTTGGGCTGACCAAAGGTGGATTTCGAAAACTTGAGACTTATGATATTCAAAGCACAGATGTCTTTTTGTGATTTCGGGGACAGCGGGCAGCAGCAAGAGAATGACTAGCTGTTTTAAAGGCGTCAAGCATAGGCCGGCAGTGGGCAACGGAAATGGGTTTCGATCTCAGGATCTCGCTGGCCGCCCTCATTGTCACAGTCGCTCGGTGTCAGACGCCTGTGTCCGTCCGCTCATGATGCATAGCTGCATAAAACCTTCGCCAACTGTGGGAGGTGTTCCAAGCCTTAAGGCCGATGCCGGGGCTCCCGATTTTGCGACGGCTGAGGCTTTAAGCTTTGTGGCCTTTGCTGCGTACGAACTCGAGCAGATGGAGCAGCTTGGAGGGACCCTGCCGGAGTCTCGGAAAGGCTGCGAATGCTCGAGGCGCTGCCCTGCCCACTACGTCGAAGCGATTGAGTTGGACACAGGCAACAGCAAGCTGCACCCAGATGGCGGACCGACGATTTGCCACAGGAGGCACTGGAAACATCAAGCATAACCACAGAGGGAAGGTGTCCAGGCGTACCGCACGCCTGAAACTTTGAATGACGATGAACGACGTGGACTCTTGGAGTCTGGTGACCAACTGAACCCGGACCAAGTTTGCAATATCTTGTGACAAAAATTTAGCGTCTTCGCATGGTATGGAAGACCTTGGCAAGGCATGGTTGGCTGCTGGCTGGGGCCTGCCACCCGTCCTGCGGGAATCCCGGCCAGGCTCATCTTGCGGTTTGTGGGTGTTCCTGACCAAAATCGAAGTGTGGTGTGCGATCCAAGCTGTCCCATGCGGATTTGCGTCCAACAGCATTTTATCTTGTTTCACCTGTTAACCTCGTGTACTGACAGGTGATGGTGTCCGCTCGAACACTTCCAGCCACGCAGCAGAAATCAAAGCGTAAGATGGGGTGCGCGGCCGGTTTTGATACCTTAAAAGGCCGTAGATGCCTGATCTATGTAGAATGCCGGTGTTACGACGCACGGGAGCTCTAGTAAAGAGTTGAGTAATGACTCAGGAAAGCTATGAATTAGCAATATCTCAGAATTCTGTATTCGGTGGTATACATTTGCATTACATTTGCAAGCACCTGATTATTTCAGTATCTGCTCTACAAAATGCTACGGCCGAGCAGCCCTGTGCGACGCCACGGCTTCAATGCACTTGGCCTCAACAAGTTCTGCAAACTTTCCCAGCTCCGTCCGGCATGCAACCCACTTTGGCTGACCCATCGGTAAGTTTCTGGGGCTGTGCAAGGGCTTTAAAAGTTTTGGCCCTGTGGATGGCCTTGGCTGACGGCGTTGCGTGTTTGTATTATCCTGCTGCACATGCGATGTTACGCATTCCATGAAGGGTCTCGTTCATGTTTGCTTTTATTTCTCAATTTTGTCATGAAGTTTATTTGTCTTGCAGGGGGCCAGGAACCAATATCACTTGTCCTGGCCAACGAGGACCAAGTGATATTGGGGTGCAAACGTACCTGCTATGAGATTGGCATGGGCGATGGAGTATCGCAGCTTGCAATCTCAATGTTGTATGAGTTCGTATGTTTTGTCTTTTACCTGGCTTGCAACATGTACGTCACCTACAGAAGACAGGCGGGTCAGTGGAAGCCATTCCAGTTGTGTTCGACAAGAGCTCCCTCATGAGGGCCTTGTCGCTTTTCGGCGAAGTTGCCGGCCCACCGGGGTGCTTGTGTTAGCAGGATCGGAGATCACATCCCGTTTCACAACATATTCAAGGGGAAATCACTGTGCGGAGATCAGCCTTTTGGAAATCACAGTGGAGATCATAATGGAAATCACAGTGGAGATCACTTGTATAGAACTGTCCAGTAGTGCGTGGCTTTAGTGCAGTCTTCATTTTCGCCTGGTTCCTCTTCTTTCGTTCATTGTATTCTTGCGTCCATCTATAGTTGTTTTCACTTTCTCCGTCACCTCATCGGGCCTGTCTCTCCAACGTTTCCCTGTTCGTTGTCATTTTTTCATTTGACGGAAGATCG